CAGTTCCATCTGTCTTAGCTTTCTGGTTTGTACATATGTACATACATATGTGTGTTTTTCTTGCTTTGTTCTCCTACCTCATTCATGGGTAGTTCTTCGGTGGTTCTCGTGAAGTTTTCATTCAGTGTCAAAGTGTAATAAAATATTACTCATGGCAATTAAAATTTTGTGCTGCGCTGTTCTTTGCTGCTCTGCTCTGCACTGCTTTTATTTCCTCGCCTCGGCTCAGGTTCAATGTGCACAGAAGCCAGAAGCGGATTGTGGTGGAGCCGCGGACGTGGCCGCGGGGCCCCTCTTTGCGGAGGGAAATATTTTACAAAAAAATTAAAAAGCTCTTGTCGAGGTGCTCCACGAAAAACGAAATAAAATATAAGTCCAGAGCGTAACTCAGAACGGTCACAGAGGAGCTGCAGCTGGAGCTGGAGTTGGTGCTGGTGGTGCTGGAATGGAGTGTCGCTGCCGGCGACAGTTCAACGACATGTTTATTAAGTCATACGCAAAATTTGTTAGACATGCCTTTGAGCAGACCGGAGACGGAGCAGAGCAGACGGGACAGACGACCGACCGCGCCGGCTCTTGAATGTCTGAGAACTTGCTGGCAAGTTTTATATGGCCCGCACTCTATGAGATTACATAAATGCCCATTAAAATGTATGCTAATAAAAACAAGATAAGTCCTAAGTCCCACAGACAAGCACACAAATTATATAATTAAGACGTGCCACCGCGAACCAGTACCAGCAGCAGCAGCAGCAGCAGCAGTGGCAGTGGCAGTGGCAGTGGCAAAATGTGATTTAAATATTGCAATTACAACACGAACAATGAGCTATATATACTAAAAAAAAATATAACTAAAATATAAATAAACATCAATAACCATCAGCTAGCACATAAATAACTTGGAAATAGTTTCAATTATTTTTGTTGTTGGTGGTTTTCGGTCAGCACAAGTGTATCTTTTACGAGTACATGGCACATTTTTGCAGTATTGTTTGGATAGTGCAATGTTAGAAATCGGAGATGGATTGGATTCGCAATAGCCGCGCACCGATCATAGAAGTGTTTGTTTTGGTTCTGTCGCGCCGAGGCTGAGTTGCTGATAAGCCTCATATCATTCATTACCCATACATCCATATATCATTCATGCTATATGCTATGCTCATCTCTCGCCGGCAGCCTTCAATCGTCAAAGAAAATATAAGGGCACTTATCGCATAAATAACCAGAGCCATCGAATCCGTGTGGGAGCCGTCGGAGCCTTAGACAAAGCGCCGCCCGGCTATCGATACGTCAATATAAATAATAACAATAATAAACAATAATAAATAATAGTAAATAATTACGAATAACTCGAAACAGAAAACACAGAAAAAACAACAACAGAAAACACTGAAATGAGTGGGAGAGGCAAATCACACGCGCAACTTGATAAATCAATTGAGCTGCTGCGAAAATATCGAGTTTCGTCGCTTGAAAACTATTTAATGGAATGTGCGATGAGATTTTGAGTGCGCAAGCCATCAAAGTGCCAGTGGGGGGGAGTGGGAGTGGGAGTGGATGATTTCGTTTGGGACTGGAACTGGAACTGGGACGTTTTATCAGAATGAGGGAAATGGCAACGCAACTGACTGCCCGGTCTGCTGGCAAAGGGCAGAGCAAATTATTATCAATTAAGAGCCGTGTGAATGGAAATCGAATGGAAATATGGTAATAAAGACTGACAAATGTCGTGTCGCGCTAATTGATGCCAGGCATTCATTTGAAATGCACATCAATTATGAATATAATAGCAATGCGCCACCGTAATTGAATCAAATGTTCAATTGAAAGTAGTTTGCAATAAATAAGATAATTTCTTTTTTGCACAAGTTTAACAATAACTTAATATATATTATAAATAAATAATAATATTAGTATAAATAAATTGCAGGCCACGCTGATTGATCATCATTGGATGCTTAACCGAACCGAACAGAGCCGAAAAAAAAGCCAAACAGATACAGATATCCTGTATATCCTGTATAGCCCACTACAGGGCAGGGCAGGGCAGGGCAGGAGAGAATCTGTTCTAAGCAGAGCATAGCGCAGAACGATACAGCACGGGATTCCAAGAAGGAAGCACCCGAAGGATAATAAAAACCAAAAAAAAAAAAAATTGGAAATTTGTGAAATAAAAAGAAGAAAAGGAGCCAAATGGCCGGACAATGGCAAAAAGTGGCACAGAATAAAGACACAAAATGCAGTTATCTTGCGAAAACCGTTCACGTCCACGTCAACACACACACACACACACACACACACAAGGTAGATCGTACGAGAGAGATCCGACAAAATGATGGGTTATTAAATGTTGTTAATCTTTTGGCCAGGCCATGACCCGCCACATATTCAAATTTCAGTGCTGGGATGCTGGGATGGACAGGTAGAGAAGGACAGGCAGGACTCTCACACACACACACACACACACACACACACGCGCGCAGAAAGAGGCCTATGTGTGACCGCTATGGCAACCACCGTTATGGCCAGGCCTAAACAATAGATGGGCCGAGCGCTGTAGAACGGTGAGCGGAGAACCCCGGAATCCAGAACCCAAAATACCAAACCCGAACCCCGAACCCCGCACCACGAACCTCGAACATCGCACAACAACTTGAATGTCGAGCCTCTTGGCATTTGCCTTTATTGTGCACACTGTTTAAATATTTACCAAGTTTTACAATATTTATGACAGCTAAAAACATAACAACACCTACTTACCCAAAAGGGCTCAAAGGCCGGGCAGCCCATGGCAGTCCATGTCCAGATTTCGGTACCAAGCCAGGAAGGGGACACTTGACACTGGACAGAGACAGAGACAGTGCCAGAGCGAGAGCCTGAGACCTGGGCAAGGCATTTTGTGGCAGGTCAGATTCAGCTTAGGCTCGCTAAGCCACACATACCATGAGCCAGCCAGCCAGCCAGCCAGCCAGCCAGCGACAGAGCCAGAACGAGAGTTGAACTTCCTTCAGATCGATTGCAATCAATAAACGGCTTAGGCGGCATTATAATATTCGAGAAATGTTTTTGCTAATCCATTTGCATGTCAACAGCAGACAAGACAAAACTGAGGGACGGGACAAGGACTGTGGACTATGCCACAGCGGACCATGGACCATGGACCATGGACAGCAAACAGCAAACAGAGTACAGTGGCAGACTGCTTCCGTTTGAGCTGAGCTAAGTAATCCGACTGGCCTGGTTTTAAGTTGCCACTAAGCGCCCTAAGCGGAGCTTGGCAATAAGCCAAGGCATTAAAAAGTAAATTTGCCTAAATCCGCTCAAAACAAAGCGGGGACTTAACTGCACCGAACTCAAATTTGAACTGAGACTCGGAATTCGGAATTCGGACTTGTGACAAGTGCAGCCGTAGCCGTGTTTTAGTTAACCCCGGGGATAAGGAGCGGCTCATCCTCGCCGATCAGCCCAAAACTCTCTGCTGGCGAGGATGATGCTCTTGCTGATGATGGTGCCAGTTGCTACAGTTGGCCAAAAGTTTCATTGAGGTTCCATTGAGCAGCGCTGGCCAAGGCCAACACCTTATTCATTGACTAACTGCCGCCGAGTGGAAGAGTGAAAGATTGAAAGAGTGGCAGGGCAGGGAAGGGCTGCCAGGGCTGCCAGGTAAGCAGGTGATGGGGCTCCGAGCAGCTGCTCGTTGGCGTCTCCGTCTCCTGTTGCGCGTGCCAAGTCTGTTGCCCAGCAAAAGTGACTGAGAACTGAGGGACTGAGGCGCATACAGAGACTCCAGAGGGGAGCATAGTTTGGAGTGCTAATAGCTTAACGCCGGCGCTTGAGATCATAAAAGAGATGGTCCAAAGGCGACCATGGAGCAACGACAGAAAGAAAAACGATCTCTACTGAAATAAGCAAAGGACAGCAAAAGATGGGGCATATAACACATCTTTAGGTATTTACTTTAACAGCTAGAGAATGTTCATGAATGAGATGAAAGCTATTTAAATTACTCATAGATATAATCCACTTAAATAAGACCAAATAAATAATTAAATAAATATATTTTGGCCCGTATATATTCTAGATGAGCCGTCCACGGAGAATCAATCAATATATTTGAGTGACAAATTAATTGATAGTTAATTCAGCTCGAATTTGGATCCAGAGAAATTCCTTGGCTAATACATTACGAGTGTGTGGTAATTTTTGTCACTCAAACTTTATTGTTTGCAGGGAGCGGGGAAGGTGAGGAGTTGAGGAGCGACCTTTAGCTGTGGTATCCACTACAAATCTGCGCTACACAAATGTTTCCCATTCAAAGAATTATGCTTAAGGTTCAGATTTCATTCGTTTTATTGTTCGATTCATTGCGCTGCGAGAGAGATGGGAGGTTGGAGAGGTGTTCTATAAATATAAAAATCGCTTTCTATATGTACTTACATAAGAAACATTACGCATGTAAACGATCTATATCTATATAATATATTTACAATAAATCAGGAGTTATATAGATATGGTGGGATGAGGGTAAATGAGGGCAAATAAGAACTAGTTAAGCAAAATGCGTACTGTCAACACTCACGACTATATCACAGATGTCACACAAACTAAGCTACCAAAAAAAAAAAATATATATATATATGTATGTATGCATGTAAACCTCGCTTTTACAACTTGATGCTTAAAATTTATCTGTCTATATATATGTATATAGCGGTATATACGGGTGAGCATATAACTATATATATCTAAAGGTGTTACATAATTTAGAGCCTTAAAACGATGCCAATTATAAATAATGCAATTATAAATAGATACAAATAATACTTTCCAGTTAGGATGCCGAAAAAGATCTCTATGCGGAGAGGATCTTTGGGGTTGGGGTTGGGTTTGGGTTTGGATTTGGATTGGATTGGGGATCTAGCGGTTGCTCTTATGTGACTAGAACGGCAACTTCGGGATGAAATCCTGTGGAATCCTCTACTACGAATCCAAGCAAATGCTTCGAAAACTCCTTAAATCTAGCAGAAAATTGTTGCTTTCTGGTATTCATGGTTGCTCACTCCTCACTGATTACTTAACGTGGATGAAATGTAGAGTAATGCTCGATACGGGCAGCAACGGGCAGGGGCAGGGGCAGTTCGCAGGCGGTAGTGAAAGAGAGAGGTGGAGTGCCATGGGATGACATTCAAATACTTTACTATACTATACCATCTATGGATTTCGGGAGTGGTGGTGGATGTTTGAAATGGTGTTTGATTGGATTGGTGGATCGGTGGATCGGTGTATCGGTCGGGGTGTGGTTATGCTTCACGTGCGCAGCACGCGTCGCTGCCTCTGCTGTCTGCCCTCTGCCGTCGACTGTCGCTTGCCGCGTCTGCCTCCAATGCTGGCGCTGCCGCTGCCGCTGCCACGGCTGGTCCCATTGGATTTGGACTTCTGCGCAGGCTTGGATACCTCATTGAAGTCTCTGCTATTGGAGCTGGAACTAGAAGTGGAACTGGTTTCACTCCGTGATCGGCTGAAACTCCGATTCGCAGGCTGCTGTTGCTGCTGCTCCCTCTGCTGTTTTCGGGGCTGTTGCTGCTGCTGCTGCTGCTGCTGCAGCTTGTGATGGGGCCGATGCGAGCGTTTCTTCTCCCGCTTGCCATCACGCCGGAGCAGCTGCCACATGGTGCGCACGAACTCGTAGTAGTGATGCTTCACGAACCGCATGTCGATCGAGTCCGCCTCGTTGGCCATTCTCATGGAACCGGTGTTGGCTCCCGCACCCGGTGCCGGACCCCCAGTGCCCTTGCTGCGCAGTTTGAGGCGCTTGTTCATCTCGTTACGCGAGATTTGCGGCAGCTGCACACCCATGGTGGCGGATCCATTGGCCGCGACACCGGGGCCACTGCGCCGATGCTTTCGACGGGGACTGGTCTGATTCACGGCCGTCTCCAGCTCGCACAGAATGCGCCGAGAGCTAAGGAGCAGCTCCCTCAGCTCCCGTGCCGTGGTGGACTCGCGGGTGATAAAGCGCTGGTCCCAGCGGATCTGGAGTCGCCGCAGATAGGCGAAGCTGGCCACGTACGTTTGCATGTTTCGGTACCAGCGCTTCAGGGCAATCTGCATGGAAGAAACAGAGATACAGAGAGAGAGGGAGAGAGAGAGAGAGAGCAGAAGAGCGTTAGTCACAGTTTATCACTGCAGGAGGAGCAGAAGGAAGTGGTAGTGGGATCCTACTAGATCCTGTGGAATGGGCAATCAATTGGGGCAATTGACTTACCGTTGAGTTGGGCTTGAGCTTGGGCAGGAACTTGTAGTTTTGAGTGTGTAGCGACCACATGGTCATGTTCCGGATATCGATGACCGAGTCCTGGCTGCTGTTGAGTCCGCGGTACTCCCGGAAAGCATGGCGCTTCAGCTGATTGAAGCTCTACGGAAAAAAACGGGAGAACAGGCGAAAATGTGGGAAATGATTGATTAGCTGGGCATGCAAGAGGCGATTGCTGGGCTGGGTTAACTCACCTGCCTAGGTCGTAGGCGGTTAAAGCGATCCCCAACCGCGGGATGGTAGGATCCCCCACAGGGATTGACCCACTCCAGGGCGGTGGTACTCTCGTTAAAGTTTCGGTAGTCAATCCAATTGCTGTTCCTCTTCCTGTGCCGCTTGCTGCGAGGCTGCGAGGAAAAGCCGGATGACCCAGATGCCGCGGAGATGGAGCTGAGGTTGTTGGGACTGATGCTGATGCTGAGGCTGAGGCTGGGACTGGGACTGGGACTGGCCATGCTGCTGGTGGTGGTGGTGCGGAGGCGGTTGGCATCGATTACCGTGAGGCCGCCGCTGGCCGTACGCATCGTCATGGTGTGTGCAGGTGCCGCGAGGAGCAAGTTGAGCGCGATTGGAAGGAGCAGGGTGATAAAGTGCGGCAGTTGGGAGCACATATCCGCATTGTCCTGCCGCCGCACGGCCCTTGAGCTCCTCCGATGCCCGCCGATGCTCGTCCTGGGCCCGTTGCTTTTCCAGTTCCCGTTCTCGGCCGTCGTGGTGTCTTTAGCTGTGGTTGCAGCGCACTGCCAACCAACTGTGGTAGATGCATCCAGATCCGTGATTGTGGTTATTTCCGTGTCCGTGTCCGTGTTCGTGTCCGTGTCCGTGTCGATCGTTGGCAGGCAGCACGACGGGAGAATTTGGTGAAAGCGGGAGGAGATGAAGAAAGACGCAAAATGAGTATCGGCAATGCAAAAGACTTCATCCAGGGCCTGGACCCCTAGCTGACGATCGGCCATCGGCGATCTTGCGATCTGCGATCCGACTACGAAAATCCTTCCAGAATGGTCTTCCCTTCAGGGGAAGTGCAACTGCAACCTTTCGAGAACCTTAAGAATTTTGTTCGGCTTTTTTGACATTTTCTTTATTATTTTAAATTTTTGGCGCCTTTTATGGATTTGCTAGCTATTCCAGGGCGAAATCTGGTCGAGAATAGGATCAAACTAGATAATTTAGACAACTAACTCGAGAGGAGCCTGATCGGGGGGGGGCGATCAAGCGATCGGGCGATCGGAGAACGGAACGGAGCTTGCGAGGACCTACATAAAGCGGATCGATAGCCGATCGATGACCAAAGGACCATAAGTAAGCTAGCTCTATGGCCTTAAAGAAGCTAAATCCAATCCATAATTTTATTGAACACATTTCAAAGCAGTTCTATATTTGCCAAGCTGTCTGGTTTCTCGATTCTGAGTTACATATATGGAAATATATATTTATATTTCCCAACTGATTGGTCCTTTGCTGATATTTGCCAATAATTATGCCAAGGAAAAACTATCAAGGATTACATGCTAAAATCGCGCTAAATATTAACTTTATATAATGGTGAAATGGAAATTAAAATTCTAAAACTGTCTAAACTATAAGTTTGAATCAGAAAAAATACACACACCGCATTATAGTTGAAAAGTTTCGTTCAGCAAGGATCCCCGTGGATACCTGGCAGGGGCGCTCCGCTTTAGAATCCAAATCCGTTGGTAATCCACAATTTATCCGCCGCTGGCTCGTTCTCAAGTTTGGGGGGTGGGGGGTGGGGGCACACTGGCACTTGCAACACAACACTCGAACAAAAAAATATATATATAATAAGCTCAGACACTACTGCTGTGGAGGATGGTGTCGGTGTCGGTGTCTCGTTCTTGACTGGCTGTTTCTTGACTGCTGGAGCTGATGAGCAGATGATGATCACTTCTTCGCGGACACTTCTTATCACGTCCGAGTATGAAACCGAACTGAACCCAAAGTTGAGCTGGATTCGACCAGCTTTCTTTGTTGAGAGGCGAGGCAGAGACAGAGGCTGCTGCGGCTGCGGCTGTGGCTGCGGCTGGGGCCGCTTCGAAGACGGCTTCGACCAACTCCAAAAGACCGAAACTGAAACTGAAATTGAAACTGAAGCGAACAGAGCGCTCAGTCGACGTCGATGGCTCTGTCGGCGTCGCAGTTGGTGTTAATGTGAAAAATGGAAAAAAAGAAAAACGAACGATACGCCTGTGGTTGTGGCTGTGTGTGTCTCTGTCTCTCTGCCTGGCTGGCTGGCTGGCTGCCTGCCTGCCTGCCTTGCCTGGCTGTGATCGGAAGATCCTCTTGCTGCCTGTGGGTCCCCACCACCACCTGCACGTGGTGTCCGTATGTGTGTGTGTGTGTGTGTGTGTCTACCTGATCGCTAGCTCGCTCGCTCTGTCCCTGTCCCTGTCCCGCAGCCTGGCTGCCTTCTCTCTCGCTGGCCATATTGTCGCCATTACTTACCGCTCATTTTTCCTGCTCACCCAATCCGGGCCACGGCCACTCACTCAAAGAGAGCGGGGCAGGGGCAAGGCCTCTACCTGTTCCATATTCTGTGCCTGCCCAAAAGCCGCTGCCCTGCTCTCTCATACATATGTACATATATCTCTTTTACAGCGCTGTCCTCGTACTGTATTTTTTTTATTCTCATTCTGCGCTATATGCTTGCTAAAAATCCTGCAAAGGGATTCGTTTAAGATTATAGCTTTCCGAATTCCGAATTTATAAAAAACTACTCTTCTACTTATGTACCATCTTCCATTCCAAAATACTTAATTCTCTTACAGCATATTCTTGCTCCACAAAATATACAATACATATATTATAAACATAAGTATTATGTATTATAATAATATAATAATAATTGTAATTATAACAACATAATAATATCAGGAGCGACTCTTTTTGGAGGCTCTCTTTCATTTAGAAATATTATATTATATATATTTATTTAGGGAAAGTAACTCTTTGTTCTTACATAAATCCTTTGAGTCTATAATAGAAACTACTAACATACATACATATTTATGTACAAATCAGAAAGTTAATTTCAATACGATTTTATCACTTTCATAATAATAATAAATAAACCTGCCATGCTCGCGATCGGTTCGGTAACACGCGTCGCGCGTCATGCGGCTGCGCCCCTCGGTCGGTTGGGAGGCTTCGGCTTGGTGTCGCATGGGCCAATTGATGCCACGTCCAGACAAAAAAGAACAATAATAATAATAATAAGAAGTGTTTAAAATAAAATAAAATAAAAAGTTTCTAGTGCACGCTTCGTGGTGTAATCTTTATTTGGGATCAGTGGGGGGGGTACGTACTCCCGCCGACTGCTCAGGGAGTACGTACTCGTATGTATAAAACTGTTCTCCTTTAAACTTTAAACGGCTCCGCTCGCTCAGAGAGCCAGACAGACCATGTTGCACAGCTGGCGCGCAGGTATGAGAGGGTCATTTATGGGTGTTGGTCTGCTGCTACCTAGGCCTCCCTCTTGCCAGAATTTTGTTCGGACTCGGCTCACTCCCTCTCCCTAGTTCCCTCCCCCGCCTCCCCCTGGCTTAAACAATTGACAAGCTAATTAAATTGAGTTTTCCCGCTTTGTTTTGTGGGCAGAGGCATGGAATTATGGCAGCATTGTCATGTATCCAGGCCCAGGCTCGAACAGCTGTGGGCTGTGACTCTGACTCTGACTCTGAGGCTGCAGTTAAAGTTGAAAAGGGAGGCAGACGAATCCTCGTAGACACGGAGCACAGAGAGAGAGAGAGAGGAATGGACTGACTGGCTTTGCGTCTAACCGTAAGTGGAATCGCTGGCAGCAGGAAGCAGCCGTGTCTCGCAGCGGGGCCACTCGCCTTGATTTCGCCGCGCGCCACCGGCGCAGGACCCACAGGACTCGCTGCGAGGGATACGCATATATATCAAGGTGGCAGCCACCTTTTGTGTGCCTACGTATGTCCTTTGGGAACTGTTTTGGGCCGGCCGAGGCGGCAGCACAAACAGAAACAATTCGCACCCAAAGAAACAACTTCATCCGGGAATGTTGTTGGGAATAGGTGAGGGTAGGGGGCATGGGTATATGGGCATGGGCATGGACATGGGCATGGGCATGGGTAGTAGCTGTGGGTATGAGTATGGTCAGGGGGTATGGGTATGGGTATCGTATCTCTATCTCTATCGATGGACACGATTATTGCATTGATGAGCTCCTGCTGCTCCTGTCGGTACACACACACTCACACACACACAAAGAAGACGCAAAGAAAACGGAGAGCACCACAGGATGTCCTTTCTGTTTTACTTGCGATTCGTTCTGGACAACAAAAATATTTTGCTACAAAATTGAGTTGTTCTGTGAGGTCTAAGCTCGCTCTCTCTCTCTCTCTCTGTGAATGCATTGTGTCCTGTCATGGTGTAATTTTTTAGCGGCGTATCGAATGCTAAGGATACGCTTTAATTGCCACAACGAACACCTCCGTATCGATCTCGGTCTTGGGCTCGACCTCGGGACACGGGCGACGTTCAGTTGGCATCATTACACGCTGCTTAGCTCCTGTCCCTTTGCCTTCTGCCTTCAGCCTCAGCCTCTGCTTCCTCCTACCTAGCCTTTCGTTTCAGCCCTGTTGTTGCTGCTGTTGTTGTGGGTGTGTGCAACAGACGGCGGCATGGACTGAGTAGAGTTAAAGGTAGGACGAAGTAGGAGTGGGAGTAGGAGTACGAGGTGTTAGTTTTTCTCGGGGCAAGTTGTTGTGATGGTTTTTGATTATGCGTAAAATTGTTCGCTTTATCATACATAATTTCCCTTGTACGGGTCAAACGGTTAGTTAGTCGATTTGCCCATTCGTTTGTTCGTTTATTTGTTTGTTTATTTGTTTGTTTATTTGTTTGTTTGTTTGATTGTTTTCCGAACTCCCTTCAGCCGCTCAGTGCCATTAGCCGTGCAATTGGCATTAGTTATGGGCTTTATTGGGCCAACAGTGGTGGGAAGTGGAGGGGGAAAGTGGCTAAAGCTATAGCTTCCCATCCTAAGCTATCCGAATCTTAATCCGAATCTATACAGATACACATAAATACACTCTCTTTTATTAGAAAAAATATAAGATCAAACCTGCCACTCTGAAAATCAATTCAAATTTCTGATCATCATTCCAAAATAATTTTACAAGTTGTATGCATAATCATATAAATTAAGAAACATCATTCTTATGGACATACAGAAATATGTACAATTTTATTTATTTATCGTGTATCTTTTAGCAGTGAAAGAACGGAAAGAAAAAGATATATTAATAAAATAATATATATCATAATATATAATATAATATAATATAATATAATATAATATAATATAATATAATATAATAATATTTCAGATACCTCGTAAATGGAAATAATTATTTCGCAATTTAAAGAAACTCAAACAAATGACGAGAAGTTGCAAAGAAACCAACACACTGGTTTTTTCTCTGTCCATTCTCTTTTCTCACTTAACCCCACTATTAATTTGTTCGCTTTTCAACCAATGAAAATAAAGAGACATTTGCAGCCAATCAAAATCGAAAAGAGAACAATTGCGTTCGTGTGCACCAGCGCGCGTGTGTGTGTGTGTGTGTGCGAGAGTGAGCATATCGGTTGAGTGGAAGAGCGCAAGAGAGTGGCCAGCTAGCCGTGTTGAGTGGAGTGGAATGGAATGGAATGGTTGAGAGAGGAGTGGTTTCATTATTTAAATGTAAATATTATGAGAGTTGAATGTCATGAACGATTGCATGTTTTTGGTTTGGCAGCAGGTTCGGCAACAGTCTGAATTTTCACATACTTTTCCTATTATATTTTAATACAAATTTGTTATAACGGGTGCTCAAAAATAATAAGGGCTATAGTACATATGTATATGTATTGAAAAGACAGAAGAAAGCTCTTCCAACAGAGGCAGAGGAGTGAAGATGAAGAACGTCCAGTGGCGTTTACCGGCGTAGGGAGAGAGATAACAACTAACGGAGTGGAAACAGCTAGAATTTATTTGTGTGATTAAGGTGTAAAAGTGTATAGAGGGAGGAGGAGGGGCAGTTAGTGTCGCGCAGCACGTGAGCCACGACTCTCAACGTTTCGACTGGTTTCATTCATAAATCTGATGCCGGTTGTCGCTGCTGCTGCCGCTGCCGCTGCCAGTGTCGCTGCTTCTGCTGCTGCTTCTGTCGCTGCTTTCGGTGCTGCTGCCTGCCGCTGTTGTTGTTTCTGATGCCTCTGCCGAATGCTGACTCAATGGGATTTTACAGTTAAGACCGCTTCAGCGGACTGACGCCATTGTCACGCACAGGCCTGATCGCTCCTAACCGATCCGATACGTTCCCCCGATCCCCTCCACCACAGACATACATACATACATACATACATATGTATCTCTCCCAGCCGATACGATCCGATTACCCCTTCAGACGAAGCCTCCGAAGTGTGTGCAACGGTAAATGCGAGATAGCTCCAAAAAATGGCAATACAATACCCCAACACACACACACACACACACATGTACACTCTCCCCCGCAGATCAAGCGACAAGTACTCGACACTTGGCCCCATATATAATGACTCACGTAGGGGGTGGGGGTGGCGGTGGCGCTGGGGGGGCGCCGTCAAATGTCTAGTGGAACGTGCCCAAGTGAGTGACTGGATCAGGGCTCTGTAGTTTTTCCGTTCTTACCGGGAGATTCCATGCCATGCCTCTCTCAGGTGTATGATGAGGTCTACAAAGTATGTGGCCGTGGGAAAAAGCGGGAGTGGGAGCGGGAGCGGGAACGGGAACGGGAACGGTAGGAACCCCCTCCCTTTTGGGACTCCCTTTTGGAGAGCTTCAGCAATGCGATAAGTACGAATTTCAGGGGGGGTCTAGAGACCACCGACTCAACCGATCGAAGTGCAGTCGGAGCCATCCGATATCAGGATCCAGGGAAATGAGAGAAGTGAGAAATCAACAGAAGTAGGCGTGATTAAATAGATTAATTTATTATTATGCTAATCGGATATATAACTTCGTATATGTAGTATGCATTGTGGATCGAGCCTGCGAGGCTAAGTTTAGGTATGTGTGTGCGTGTGGGTATATAAATTAAGCGATATAAATACAAATGGATATGCGGGGGATTAAAAAAAACAATATATAATATAAATATAATAATAATAATAATAAATAACTATGTACGTAGGAGAAAGTGGGTGGCAGATTGGGTTTTAGTAGCTCCCTTTAAGCAGCTTTGAATAGACTTATGTGGCATAGTGGTGGAGGTGTGGGTGTGGTGGTGGCTGCAGGTGGTTGATGGTGGCGATTGCTTTTTGGTATACTTTAACTCTGGGAACTTGAAGGAGGAGATACATTATTCCGTGTGTGTGCGCTCCTAGTTGACCTCCTCTTCGTCGCCATTCTGCTTTTCCAGCAGGACCTTGTACTTCTGCTGGACGACGGCCAGCAGCTTGATGGCCTCCAGGGTGACCCCGAACTTGTGGTCTGGGTATGAGGTTGCGTACGTATAGATGGACATGCTGCAGGGCTGGCTGTTCATGGCTGCCTCTGCCATGTATAGGTTGTGGCTCAGCTTTTCGATGATATGCACGAAGGTGCAGTTGTAGCCGCTGTGCCCCTTGGTGACGCTCTGCATCAGATGGCGCACAATCATCAGGGCGTCGGCAATCTTGGGCAGCTCCTCGCTGGCCTCTCTCACCTCAGCCTGATTCTCGTAGATGAACCTCTCGGGGTCACTATCGAAGCGCACCTTTTTGGTCTCCTCGTGCAACGGATGCGTCAGGTTGAGATTGTGCAATGAGTAGCGGTCTATCGCGCCGCTCAATGTAACGCCATCTTTCCAATAGTAATCCAGCTAAAGAGAACAGGGTGGGAAGGGGGCAGGGGGTAAGGTATCGCTCGCAGCACCGCTTTAAGCTCCGCTCCACTTACCCACTGGCCGATCAGGCAGGTGATGGCTTCCATAGTCTTCTCGGCCACATTCTGGGCACCGACCAGACTTGCCTTCGTTGACATGGCGCTCCTGTGATACTGGCAGAGCAGGGTGGACGTTGGCTCGGGCCTCACTATTGTGATATTCCTCGTTTGATCCAATGCCTGGTGTTCCGCCGAACGCTGGTGCACGTGGTGGCGGTGGGGCAGTATTAGGTGGCGACCGCTGAGACGTCGCGGCGCTGCCGATGTCCCCGTGGGCCAGCTAGCGGCGATTGTGAGCAGCAACAGGACACCCAGGAGCCAGCACCGGGCGGGAGCTGCAATTGAATTGTGAACGAAATCAGTAAGGAAAGCCAAATACAAATGCAAATCATTTGAAATCTTAGATTGCTTTGAAATGTTCGAACTTTTTGCTAGGGACTAGGACTAGAGCAGGGACTAGAGCAGCTCGCCCTGCAAGACATATGGCCCTGCAAGCTTGTGACACAAGAGTATTTACAGAAACAGATAGAAGCACAGGTAAACTACGAATACAGATATACAGACATACATATGTACATACATACATATGTACACTCGCAGATACTGTCGGGTTTTATGACGTTAGTGATTCAGAAGTAATTGAGGAAACACTTACACACTCGGCCAAATCGCACTGAATTTGAGCCCACCCTGTGGCGGGGTTTGCTTGAGGACTGTTGTTGGGGTTCTGTGTCCTGTGGCAACAGTCTATCCTCGATCTGGCTTGCACTGCCACTGGCAATGGGACTGGGACTGTGACTGTAGCTGTAGCTGGCCATTTTTCGGCGCACACACGAAGGGAAAAACAATAACACGATGAGCACGTGACAGAGAGTGTTTTTGGGCTGTGCAGATGCACTAGCACAGAACTGATTCCCGAAACTAAGTTATATATAACACTGCGCTTGGGTTTATATTGAGGTTGTGGTTGTTGTTGTGGGTGAGTGAGGTAGGCGTAAGGTTAGCGCTTGCACTGGCAACTGGGCAACTTAGAGCTGATCAGATGCTGATCTGAAGACGGGTTGTACTTGGCGAACTTTTGTACTTGGCTCGACGAAATCTTTGAGTTTATGAAGAGTTTAAGGCACACGCCATGCAATTTATACGATTCAAATTAGTATTATCGTCGCACGAAGCCAGCCGAGCGCGTGGCCGAGCCGCACGCACACACTCACACAGCAATCACTCGGCACACAGCACACAGCACACAGCGTCCAGCAGCAAGCGACGTCTTCCCCAAGCAAGTCCCAGATGACGGCAAAGCTTTCGCGCTTGCGCTTGTAATCGCCAGCCAATGGCGAGGGACACACAAACAATTGCACACGCACACACATACACACACACACACACACACACACACACACACACAGCAAAAAGGGCTACATTATGTAGTTGAATGTGAATCTTTTGGGGGATTGATCTACTCCAGCAGCAGCAGCAGCAGCAGGTCGTTTTCCCACATAGTCAACTCCGGTGCTGGCTGACTCACAAATCACTGGAATCATAATCACAATTCCCTGGGCACATACATATGTACATATGTATGTACGTACGTATATTCCCCTTATTCTTGACGTGTGTGTGTTTTTTTTTTTGTTGTTTTCTCTGGTTTCTTCCTGTCTTGCTGGCCAGTGTGGAGAGTGCAGCGAGTGGGGACTGGAGAACGGAGAGGGAGAGTGGGAGTGGAACCCAGAGAGTGTTTTCGTGGGTGGGGGGCAGTAATTTATGCACGGAAGCTTCTTGGCCCAGAACGGATGTCAGATTGAATTCTTGGCCAATGCCCTTGGCCGGGGGAACATCGGCAGTGCGTCAAAGGTCAAAGTCAAAGGCAGTACAAAACCAATTAAAAAATCATCTAAATGACAATCATCTAAAACAGGGCTCGAAAAGTGAATGAACTTGAGCGAAGATTTGCGGCTGGTGGCGTGGAGTGGAGGATCAAACGAGAAGGAACGTGTGAGTCGCTTCTGGGGACGCGACTCTACTTATACCCGTACTCAGTCAGTATATACATTTTTTTGAGCTTATGCTTTTTTAGAATTTAAACTTAAAAAAAAAAATTTACTTTTTACATTTTTTTTTTACATCTACAATGTATATTATACATCTCCTCCGCTAGGGGTTGCTCACGGCAGAGTGTGCGAGCGAGAAAGAGAATGAGTAGCGGGTCTATTGCTGTAGGAGGCGGGGGCACCAACAGAAAATTAATTTCTTCATTCTGGCTAGATTTTCGTCCTTTGTGCGGGCGGAAGGGGGCGGGGCGAAATTTTAAAATACACTTGTAGCAGTGTTTGATATCACATGAGAGTGTAAACCAAATTTGGTTTCTCTAGCTCTTATAGTCTCTGAGATCTAGGTGCTCATCGAGACAGACAGACAGACGGACAGACAGACATGGCTATATCGACTCGACTATTGATGCTGATCAAGAATATATATACTTTATGGGGTCGGAAACGTTTCCTTCTCTGCGTTGCACACATCCACTTTTACCTCAAATCTAATATAATCTAATCTAATCTAATGAGTACGGGTATAATTATTTACTTCGATGAATGGTGGATGAATGAATGGATGGAATGCCATAACCAGTATAGCCATAGCCATATGGGTATAACAAAACTTGTGTAATTGTGGCACTTGCTGCTATTGTTGCTGGTGTTTGTGTTGCCGGTGTTTCTGTTGCCTGTTCGCGTTGAATATGTAACTGTTGGTGTTGCTTGCCTTGACCGCGACGCGTTGTTCCTTAGGCATTTCCGATCGGATCGGATCGCTTAGAACGTGAGCGCAATGGAAACTGAAAGCCGCCGAACAGGCGGCATACAAACAGCCAAGAGACATTGGCCAAGGCAACGGGAGAGGCAGTAGCATACTCGTAAATATAAGAGACATTCCCCCACATCTAACAGTTACAGCCCGTCTCTCTCTTTCACGGTCCGCACCCACTCTACCACAGACACTCAAGGAGTTACTCATGACACGCGTCAATGCAGCTCTCATTTGCGAAAAAAGCCACTCGACAGCCACGCCACGCCGTTGGCCCCCAGAGAGCACTAAACCATTGACGGGGGCAAACCTTGCTGCCAGAGATTTCCCTGCCAAATTGCGTGCTCGCGGACTCGCGGTTCCGACTTATGCTGGCGACTTCCGTTTTATATAGTGATGCGAATTCCTCGTCCAAATATAGCGGCTGACGATAAGGAGGCACACAGTGGGGCTTTTGTGCCGATCTAGAATCCAGATTTCTGAATCTGGGGATATTCTTGGTTTGGTTGGGAATATTTTTCTCGCCCTGCTAGCTGGGCATTTCATAATGGATCCTTTTTCCGAAACGGTTACTTGCCTGCCTATGGCAATTTTACTTCACTTTATTTTTAATAGTAATCGACTTGGCATACTCTTCCCAAGGGAATAACATAGGGAATAAGTGGATAAGTCATAGAAAAGATGCAATGGGAATTATGGCTCTCTGTTAATACATATGAAGGGGGAAAACAGTGTAAAGTGTATTTTGATGCATATTCCTAACTATATTTGGAATATCTACGCTATGGAATATACGAGTATGTGTATGGGCGTATTACGTATAATCACTGTCACCAGGTTGTCTGTTATTTTTCACACTTGCGAGTGTAAAACTGTGCAAGCCTTAGCTACGCACAATTGCAAATCTGCAACGTAAGCATGGCCGAGGGAGTTCCGTTTGAGGCTTAATGTTTCCCTATTTAGAAATGAGCATCCATTGACGAGTACTTCCAGAGTGACGTGTCACGCATCCGCATCTCTCGGTATCAATCAAAACAAAAATAGCAAGCAACAACGGAACGGAAACCTCAAGCAGGGTCGCGGGCTGTAATACATAGCTCATTCATCGGTCCGAGCCGATCCAGACTACGGGTCGTCATCACGCCGCACCAACTGCAGTGCACTGCACCGATGCAACCGCAATGCAAGCGGATGTGACGCGTGCCCCGCCGGGGCGGATCTGAAGGGTGAGTGCCATTAAGTCTCACAACCTACTGTTTCACACGCGACCGGCAATGATGACGAAAAGGAATTATTGTAAAGCATTGGAATGATGGCCTTGGGGATTCAGCATACAGGGAAAGCGTAAGTGGGAGTATCCCTAACATTAATAATCGAATAGATAAGTGCAGAGAGAATAATCGAGTAATCGAGTGATCGCGGATAATAAGGTGCTGTGGACGCCAGAAAGAGAATAAGTAGCGTCAGCAGCGCTGCAGGAGGTGGGGGAAGCAACTGAAATTTCATTTCTTTATTCTGGCTATAATAATGATCCGATCTGATCTTAGATAAGTTTTATCGTATCTTTAAAATTGTGGCTGGCACAGATTTTCGTCCTTTGTGGGGGCGGCTTAAATCATTTAAGTGTAAAGATATTTTCTATTTCTAGTTCTAGTTTCTATTTAAAAGCTATGCTGATCAGATTCTGATGGTTGCGTTGCAGCATACTAAACGCTGATACTCTCCTGATACGCTGATTTACAATGTTGAACTTGAGACGTCACGGTCCCAGTTCTGGACCCAGTCGCCACTGATTGTATGAAAATAAACTGTGACGCCATAGCACATAGAGCCGTTAATCTTAGAGTCTCGCTTCGAGAAAGTACTCCGTGCAAAGAGCAAATTTCAATTGTCGTCACCTAAGGTTCCGGTCCCGGTCCCGGTCCCTCCCAACCAGTCTAACTGACCACAGACACTTGATTCTGGCTGTACATATGTCGATTATAAGTCAGGCAGCTATTAGGGTAAATCACCGAGCAACGAGCAGCGAGCAGTGTGCAAAGCCTCCTTTTGTTTGCCTTTCTGTTTAGATGCTCTCTCTCCCACTGCGTCATCGTGCCCATTCATGGGCAGAGATTAGACTGAATCGAATGAAAGGGGCATACTCATTTGTTTGGGCAGCGCATTATGAATGAACGAACGGACTCGGATTGCCACTGGGAAGCACCTGTGCAGTGCTGTGGCTGTGGCTGTGCTGTGCCTGTGGCTGTGCTATGCCTTGTGCTTGGCTTTTCGTAAGAAGGCGAATAGGAAAGCAAACAACGCAACGCCGCTGGGCCTGCAGCCGGGTCTGGGCCAAGATGAGGCCAGTGCTATTTTTGGCACTGTCGATCCCCTTAAAAAAAAAAAAGAACTGTGGCGCCCGCAAGCAAACATTTCACGCAATGGAAGAAAAGTAGATGGAGTTGGGGCTCGAGGTGCGATGTTAGCTGTGACGCAATTGGGCTTCCACCGAACCGTTTTTTTTATAATTGCTTTCAGTTCCTGTTCACACTAGGCATACGCCACGTGGTACAGAGGTCACATACAGATACAGGTATAGGTGCAGGTATAGCAAATTTGAACTCACCTCAGGGCAGGCGACGTCACCAAGCGGCCGATGGCACAGGCCCAAAGCGAGAGCTGAAAGAGATAGCGGAAGTTCGGGATCTTAATTCTCATTTGTTGGACATTAGCCGCATTAGCCACTCTATAGAAACGACCGATCAAAGCAGATTGAAAATTTTGTAAAGAATAACTACAGGCCCAAATACATACATATGTATAGTACATTGCACCGGTTCGTGTGCTACATGATTTCTACCTGAAGTTAAAAGCTTTGGTCGAGCTTTTTTGGACGCGATCTCGTCGTCAGGTGTGCTGTGGCCACAGGGGAATGTATATTGGCCGATTGGATTGGAGACAGTGTTGCCGATTGAGCTATTTTCCCACTAGATCTATCGTGTTTCAATTGGCAAATGCGTGATAAATTGTA